CCGCTGCTGTGCACATACGTGTGCACTGCCCACGCGGGCACGGGCGGGGACATGCACGGGCATGGGAGAGCACATGCACCGCTGCCGTGCACATACGTGTGCACCGCCCACGCGGGCACGGGCGGGCACACCCCCGACATGGGCGCGCACGTGCACCACTGCCGTGCACATACGTGTGTGCACTCCCACATGCAAACAGGCAGACACAGCCCAGGCATGGGCGAGCACATGCACTGCCACCGTGCACACACAGGTGCACCACTCACGCCAGCGCAGGTGGGCACATGCCCGGGCATGGGAGAGCACATGCACCACCGCTGTGCACATATGTGTGCACTATCCACGCGGGCACGGGCAGGCACATGCATGGGCATGGGCGAGCACATGCATGGCTGACGTGCCCATATGTATGAACACAGCCACACATACACAAGCATGCACATCCCAGGCATGGGTGAGCACATGTACCGCCACTATGCACATACATGTGCACCACCCACATGGGCAAGGGCATGCACATGGATGGTGAGGGTGAACATGCACACTGTGGCCATGCACATGTGTGCACATGCCCATGCATGCATCAGCATGCACAGCTCAGGCATGGGCGAGCACATGCACCACCTCCATGCAACTATATGTGCATATGGTCGCACACGCATGGGCATGCACAGGCATGGGTGAGCACATGCACTGACACCTCCACACACTTACTTGTACACATACTCGCACATGCACACAAACCATGAGTCAGCAACATGCACTCGCAGCCCAGAAAGCCAGCCGTGTCCTGGGTGCATCACCAACAGCGTGGTCAGCAGGCCAAGGGAGGGAATTCTGCCCCTCTACTCTACTCTGGTGTGACCCCCCCCACTAGAGTGCTGCATCCGGCTCTGGGGTCCCCAGCACGAGGAGGACATGGACCTGTTGGAGTGCGTCCAGAGGAGGTCACAGAAATAGTCCGAGGGCTGGAACCCCTCTGCTAGGAAGAAAGGCTGAGAGTTGGGGTTGTTCAGTCTGGGGAAGGCTCTGGGGAGACCTTACTGTGGCATTTCAGTATATAAAGAGGGTTTCTAGGAAAGATGGAGAGAGACATTTTTACCAGGGCCTGTAGCGACAGGACAAGGGGCAATGGTTTTAAACCGAAAGAGGGTAGGTTTAGGTTGGACGTAAGGAAGAAGCGTTTTTTGATGAGGGTGGTGAGACACTGGAGCAGGTTGCCCAGAGAAGCTGTGGGTGCCCCATGCCTGGAAGTGTTCAAGGTCAGGTTGGATGGAGCTTTGAGCAACTTCATCTACTGAAAGATGTCCCTGCCCATGGCAGGAGGGTTGGACTAGACGGTCTGGGAAGGTCCCTCCCAACCCAAACTGTTCCATGATGTTATAGTTTGCATGCATGCAAACACCCTACAAAGGTGTATTTGTATATGAACATGCTCCAGAGCTCACACGCATGTGAGCACACATGGGGGTGTGCCCCCAAACACATCACTGGGAGGGAGAGAGGGTTTGGCCCCACTTTACACCCTGCAGTGTGCACAGGGCCCCAGCCCTGCAGCGTAGGGTGCTGTGGCCCCCAGTGCCCAGCCCTCACCAGCTGCTGCTCTGGGACCCCCATGCCAGCAGCCGGCCAGGCGCAGACAAGAGTCCCACATCCCCCCATACTGCAGCCCACCCCCTCGATGGGCTATGCCCAGGGGCAGGGGGCCTGGGGCTCCCTTGTCCACTACCTTGTGCATGGCTTTGCCCTTTGGGCTGTAATAAGCAGGGGGGCAGGGGGGGCCGCTGTGGGATTTGGACCTCCACGTTTTGGGCCTCCCCATCTCCCATGTGGGGCAGGGGGATGGGGCAGGAGGGCTTGGCTCTCATTGAAGCATCACTACCTACCATGTCCTCATCCTCCCCAGCTCCTGGTCCCTCAGGACCAGGGGTGCAGGATATGGGGGGGACAGACTGGGGATCTGTAAAACAGAGAGATTATAGTGATGGGGAGACAGAGAGCAGGGCCAGGGGCTACCCCAGCATGCTGGGTCCTGTCTGCACCTCTGGGAGAGCCAGGAGCCATGCATGCTACAATGAGGCTGCTGGCCTGCAGCTCCCCTGGGGTTCCACACAGGGATTCCCAGGATTCCCCATGGCCACATCCAGCGCAGGTACTGAGGGTCTCAGTACCCAGCAGCCTGGCCATGCCCCCGTGCCCTGGGTCCACAGTCCTGCCCGGCAGCAGTGGGAGCTGCATGGAGGGGCAAGCGGGTCTCAAACAGGCCATGGGGCACAGACACACACATGCATGTGTCCCCCTCCCCATGTGCCTGCGGTTATCCGTATGCATGTACTTGCACAAGAGGCCTTGCCCATGCACACGTACACACACTCACCCACATGTGAACGCATTCACCTATGAGCACTTACCTGCCTGTGCATTTCCTCACCTGTGTGTGCTCACGCACATGTGCATGCATTCACAGGTGCACATCACACATATGTGGACACGTTCACCCATGTGTGTGTTAACCCGCATGTGTAGTCACTCACCACTGGAACTTGTGCTCCCAGGCATGGGGCTGTGCTCCTCCCTGTGCATATGTGCTCACACACATGGCACATACTCACCTCTGTGTGCATGTGTGCTCACACGTGTGCATGCATTCACCTGTGTGTGTGTGTGTGTGTGTGTGTGTGCATGTTCAGCTGTGTGTGCTCACACACGTGTGCATGTGTTCACCTGTGCGCACTGACATGCATGTGCCCGTATTGTCCCATGCAGGCATGCGCTTAAACTCAGCGTTCTTTCAGCCATTCATTTACATGCTCCCATGTGCATGCATGTGTTTACCCTGGTGTGTGCTCACATGCATTCACACACTCACCTCTGTGCACATGTGCTTACCTGCATGTGCATGGGCTCACACACAAGCATCCTCCCATGTTTCTGTGCCAACGTGCGTGTGCATACACTCCAACACATGTGCATGCACCCACCGATGCACGCCCGTGCCTACTCACACGTGCATATCCTCACACACCTGCACTCATGCACCCACATGTGTGTGCCTGCGCACGTGTCCACCCCCCCCGTGCATGTGCTCACACGCGTGTGCTGGTGCCATCCAGCGGCCGGTGCTGCCCTTGCACCGCGGCTCCCCCGGCCCT